AAATGATTCTAATTTCTGAATATAAAATCATCTCAATCAAATGATCAATGCAAAGTAAAAATTTAAGATCAAAATAAATGAAAACACAATATATATGTAAGATGAAATTTCAACAACAACAAAATCAAATAACAAATATATATATATATAGATATATATATATATATATATATATATATATATATATATATATATATATATATATATATATATATATATATATATATATATATATATATATATATATATATATATATATATATATATATATATATATATATATATATATATATATATATATATATATATATATATCCTAAACAAATAAGAAAAAATCCAAAATCTTAAGAAAATAATAATCAAATTGTGCAAATCAAATGATTCTAATTTCTGAATATAAAATCATCTCAATCAAATGATAAATGCAAAGTAAAAAATTTAAGATCAAAATAAATGATCACACAATATATATGTAAGATGAAATTTCAACAACAACAAAATCAAATAACAAATATAAGAAAAAAATCCAAAATCTTAAGAAAATAATAATCAAATTGTGCAAATCAAATGGTTCTAATTTCTGAATATAAAAATCATCTCAATCAAATGATAAATGCAAAGTAAAAAATTTAAGATCAAAATAAATGATCACACAATATATATGTAAAATGAAATTTCAACAACAAAATCAAATAACAACTATATATATATATATATATATATATATATATATATATATATATATATATATATATATATTATATATATATATATATATATATATATATATATAAACAAACAAGAAAAAATCCAAAATCTTAAGAAAATAATAATCAAATTGTGCAAATCAAATGATTCTAATTTCTGAATATAAAATCATCTCAATCAAATGATAAATGCAAAGTAAAAAATTTAAGATCAAAATAAATGAACATACAATATATATGTAAGATGAAATTTCAACAACAACAAAATAACTATATAAGAGAAAGATTGATTATGAGCGTTAAGAATTTGAGGTATATTAAGGCATAAGATCAATTCTTAAGATTCATGAAAGAATCATATCACCAAAATATAATATTTTCCATTTAATATAGAAATAACTTTCAATTTAATATTTTCCAATCCCCAAAATATATCAGTTAAACAAAACGTGCAACCATCTATTCACTTATTTAACTAGTGAATGATCATGTCACCCCAATTTCCACAGATCAAATGCAGATGATTAACAACAATATTATATTTGAGAATCCCTAATTTTTTTTTCATTTAATTTAAAATTATAACCATAGACATAAATTTATATCATAATATCTTACCCTAAAAGTGATATACTTGACAACAACATTGTCAGCCATGATAAAAAACGTAGGGCTCTGCACAGTGGTTGCATGGTCATCCCATTCAACCAAAGTATTGCTCATTCCCTCTCCTCTAATAATGATATAAGGCTTATCATATGGAATCGTCAACTTCTCCCTGTAAACAACAAAACACACAAAATTTCAAAAATAAAAAATAAAAAATTCATTTCAACACAAATTTTTTTTTATTTTTAAAAAGCACTTATAAAAATTTACCTGTAGTAACCTGCTTTGATATTAATCGAAGTCCAATACCTATTGTTTGAAGGTATAGAATCAATGGCAGATTGTATAGTAGAGAAACATTCTCTCCTCTTTGGATCAACAACTATTGTTTTATAAGGATATAACCTATTTCCATCTCTTTTATGAATTTGAGCATTTGATAGCTCTACTCTCAAACAAATTATGAGAAATAGCCATGCAAAATAAAACCAATGAAAAGACATAATTATTGGTAGGAAAAAAAAGAGAAAATATTTTCAACGATGAGAAATTCAATGGGTTGAAAAAAAAACTAGAATAATTTTTTTTTTTGTTGTAAAGTGAATATGTATATAATATGTTTTCAATGAAATGCTTATGACATTTAATTAATTAAGCTTATGAAGGAAAGTGATTCCCCATTCATAGCATCTTATCGTTTCTGATTCTCAGTTTCACGAGAAATTATTATTTTAAATATACATTAATGGTTATTTTATTTTGGTGTCATCAAATTTATGACACACTTATTTTTTGTCCACCTCTGATTTACCAAAGTAAATGTCATGATAATTTTCCTAACCAAAATATATGGTTTTGACATATAAATTTATGTATAGCGTCTCTATTTTCATTTTCATTTTGGGACTGTTGACGAACACTTATGGTAATGTGAATTTTAATTACTTTTATACACTTAATTAGTTACTATGACTATTTGTTAAAAATGAGTCACTTAATATATTAATGGCTTGAAATTGTAACAAACTTTTTCTATAAAATAAGAAGATATTTTAACACATTTTTTCAAAAAATTAAAATAAACCGGTAATAAACTTTTTCTATATAAAATGAAATTGTAATAAAAAAATTCATTTTATTATTTTTATAAATATAATAACATTTAAAGGTTTTCATCGATTTATTTTTTTACTGGTCAAATAATATATTAATAATTGGGCTAAAGCAAGCAGAAAAATACAAGGATACAACGAGAATTATACTTCTTACACTACAAATTAAATCTGGCACCTTTCACTTTTCATCAATTTCAAAATACCCTTGATATTAGAGGAACAAAACTTCTGTACGAAATTTTTAGTACAGCAGTGCAAATTTATGGTACATGTAAAATTTTTGGTATGTACAAAATATATGGTAATTCATTTGAAATTTCTGGTAAGGATAATTTTATTTTGGAAATTTTAAATGTACTATGTTATATCGAAAATTTCGTTTTATACTGAAATTTTTAGTAATGTATTAATTTAGAATTTTTTAACGATTAGAATTTTGTCGACATGTTTTAAGAATTCTGATTGTACCGACACTTTATGTGGTCGAGAATGAATATAAATTTGTATAAATAGGGGCATAAGTTATAGAGGAAAACATCTCAAAAATGTCTCTTCCTCAATTTCTGATTAAGACAACAGTGTATTTCAACGAAAACAACTTTCATGTTGAATTCAAGCTACCAGATGACACCACATCCCTCGCCAACTTAAAAGACAAGTTGACTGAATTGTTACCTAATATCGATAACATAAGGGTGGGAAAGAACGAGTTTTGGGAAGATTGGAATGGTCCAAATGGAAGGGTGAAATGCAACCTGATTGAGTTGAAGACTAACAAAGATGTGAAGATTGTGTGGAAATCATTTTGGCATAGGATAACCAACGGTCTGATCGAGTTGGATGCGCGGATAATAAGATTCATCGACGATATAATCTGGTAGTACCTATGTTTTCACGTTTAGTTATTTTTAATTTATGTTTGTTGTACTGTTTTATGTTATGTTCATCTTCGAATCGAACCATATAATCTCCAAAATATTATGCAATAAATAAGTACCGTGATAAAAAGTTTGTGTCACAAAATATACATAATACAAGCAAAATATAATAGATCTACATACGGCCCCCACGAGCTATGTCTGCTATCCTAGATAAACCTATAAAAACCACATCATCCGGGTTTACCCAACCCGTGAGGTTATTCCACTATAAGAAATATCTTCCCCAGCAAAGTAATTTAGTGACGTGATTATCATGTCACTAAATTTTAGCAGTTGCGACGTGATAATCACGTCAATACAATATTTTATAAATTAAATAATAAAAGTAATGTATAGACTGCGTCAGTCTGGTTTTTTTTTATATATAAAAGTTGCGACGTGGAAAACACGTCACAACATAAAAATTTGAAAAAAATAATGTTAAAGCTGCAGGGGTTTTGAAGAGGGAAGTTTTAATAATTAAAAAAAAATGTTGTGACGTGTTAAACACGTCGCAACTTATTTTGAGAGAACTTTGACAAGATGTGGTTCTGATGCATTATGAAATGTGCAGATTAATATTAAAAAAATAACTGTTGGAGAAGTTGCAACATGAATATCACGTGGCAAGGTTGCGACGTGATATTCACGTCGTTGATTGGCTATTAGAGACTTCAACGCTCTATTTCCATAAACCATTGTGTTTCTTATTTTTTCCTCCACTTTCTTCTTCTTTCTCTCTTCTGTTCTTGTTTTCCTCTTCTCTATTCTTCCATTGTTACACTATCAAATCTCAATTCCATCACCAATTTCAAATTTATTTTGTAATAAAGGTATAATATTTATTCATTTTATTTTTAATATGTTCGTTTTAGGTTAACTATATTTTATGATTGACTGAATTTTTTTTGTCAAGAAATTGAAGAGATTAAAAGAAAAATTCAAGGGTTGTACAAGAAGTTGAAGGAATTTCAAGAATTGGTATTTATGTTATTTATATATATATATATATATATATATATATATATATATATATATATATATATATATATATATATATATATATATATATATATATATATATATATATATATATATATATATATATATATATATAGTATAACAAGGAAAAAAAATTGAATATATTTATTTAAAATAAAAATATACTATTTTTTTATTAGAATATAATGTAATAAAGAATATAGAAAAATAAGTTAATAAATATATATTTTTTAAAACAGAATATAAAAAAAATGTAATTAGTAAATATTTTTAACAATATATTTTAGAAATAAAAACAGTTTTATACATTTAATAAAAACGGTTATATAATATAATAAAATTAAAACAGATTTATAAATATATTTTAAAATATATTTTAAAAATAGAAACAGTTTTTATATTTAAAAACAATAACAAAAAATATATATTTTAAAAATAAAAACAGTTTTACAAAAACAGTTTTTTAAAACAATAATAAAAAACAGTTTTTATTTATAGTATATAGTTTTTAATTACTACCAACAATTTTTATCATATATATAGTTTTTAGTAAAAACAGTTTTTATTTATAATCAAAATAAAATATTATATTATATTATATATATTATTTTAAAATTGAGAAATTTATTTTTTAAACAAATTATATATTAAAAGTAGAATATCTTATATATGTTTATTTAAAATAAAATAGAATTTAATTCTATTTTATATTTCTTAAAAGAATAATATCTTTGTTAAAAAAAATTATGGTTAATATATATTCAATATGTTTATTAAACGTATGGCAATATATATATATATATATATATATATATATATATATATATATATATATATATATATATATATATATATATATATATATATATATATATATATATATATATAAAATAGTTATAAAATTTAGTTATAGTTAGTATAGTTAGATATTTACGTAATTATAGTTAATAATAAGACAATGATTGTATATATGTGCAGTATGAAATATTATCGGTATGGTCGTAGTTGGATGTACGATAGATTGTATTCAAGAAGACGTGCACTTAAATCCCATTTTATAGAAGGAGTTAATGAGTTTATCACGTGGGTGTTTGCTCAGGAATATTGTCGAAGCGAATTAGGAGTTAGGTGGCTCTGTCTTAAATGTGAATGTAGACCAATAATTAGTGACCCGGAGGAAGTAGCACGTTATTTGCATAAAAGGGGTTTCATTGAAAATTATTGGGTTTGGACATATAATGGTGAAGAACTGCCGAGTAACGTACCAGATACTAGCAACACGCATGCTTCAAGTAGTTGATCGCCTATGGAATATGAGGAAAACTTTAATCTGATCGGTGAGATGGTTGAGGATGTCTTTGGTGTGAACGTGACATATGATCAAACTGAAGATTTTGACGAGGAAGAGTTGCTGAATGAGGATGCGCAGAGATTTTATCAGTTGTTAAATGAGATGAATACACCATTGTTCGAGGGGTCATCAAACTCAAAGTTATCAATGTGTGTGAGATTATTGGCCGCCAAATCAAATTGGAATGTTCCTGATCAGTGTTTGGAACATTTTGCAAAAATGATGTTCGATTCCACCGCAACAAAAGACAACTTGCCTACAAGTTTTTATGATGCAAAAAAGTGGGTGTCAAAGTTAGGTTTAAAAGTAAGAAAGATTGATTGTTGCATTAGTGGTTGCATGTTGTTTTATGACAACGAGTTTGGTACTCAAGATGGATTGTTGGAGGAATGCATGTTTTGTAAGAGTTCAAGATATCAAGTTCGCAGTAGATCCATTAACAACAAGCAAAAGCGTGTGGCAGTAAAGTCCATGTTATATCTTCCGATAATACCAAGGTTAAAAAGAATGTTTGCTTCAATGCACAGTGCAAGTCAAATGACATGGCATCATATAAACCAAACAAGTTCAGGCACTATGCAACATCCATCTGATGGCGAGACATGGAAGCACTTTGATCGGACACATCCTGATTTTGCTGCAGAACCTAGAAATGTCAGGCTTGGATTATGCTCTGATGGTTTTGCCCCATATGTGCAAGCATCGGGAAGTGCGTATTCTTGTTGTCCAGTTATTGTAACTCCTTATAACCTCTCTCCCGAGATGTGCATGACAAAACCATACATGTTTTTGACGTGCGTCATTCCAGGTCCGTCCAGTCCAAAAGCCAGAATTGATGTGTACTTACAACCTTTAATTGATGATTTGAAGAGGTTGTATATTGGAGAATGGACTTAACATATATCTCGTAAACAAATTTTTACTTTGCGAGCTGCCTTGATGTGGACCATTAATGACTTTCCAGCATATGGAATGTTGTCTGGTTGGGGTACGCATGGCAAAATGGGTTGCCCGCATTGCATGGCATACACCAAAGCGTTTACGTTGGATAAAGGGGGAAAGCTCGTGGTTTGACTGTCACCGCAGATTCCTACCAAAAAATCATCCCTATAGAA